GATAACTTTGCGTCTCATGTCATGTCTATGGAGAATGAGACTGAAGCACAGGTTGCTTGCCTTCACACAGTTTCAAAATCATAGGGCAAAAACTCAACTGGGGAACAGCAGAGTGTCCAATGCCTCATTAAGGATATGGGACTTGTGACAGGGTCTAGGAAGATCTATCCATTGGTTGCCACAAAGAAAGGTTTGTATGCAGCGTTACCTCCTTGGTAGAGGCCCCTGTGACCTATGCCCAATGCTCAGATTTAAAGCAAACTGTCCAGCTGGAAAGGCTTTGTTACCCAGCAGTGTGTAACTGTGTGTGAGGGAAGCGACAGCCTGCGTGGCCCTGTGACCACGGCACTGAGATCCTCCGGGAATCCTCTCTGACAGACGTGTCCTTGTTGTCCTCTGCCAGCAACCCAACATTACAGAGGGCACTGACTCCTAGAAAGGGGGCACGGCTCCTGTTCTCCTTCAGCTTATCACAGAATGTGCAACACCAGGATCCTTTCACCCTCACAAAGGCCGGAGGAGGCCTTGCAAAGCTAATTATTTCCAGCAGAAGACTAAGGGGATACTTTCATTTACCCCTCTACCTCTTACCACCACGGTCCACTAGGACAGTACTGACCAGCTACTGGAATAAGATCCTCTCTCCTCTTAATGCTCTTTCCCTGTTTCTTCAGAGTACTTTCTGTTGCCTCCATTTCCCTTGCCCACATGTTCCTTGAACCTGGCTTTCCCACACTTCCCTTTCCTTCTGTCTGCCTTTGGCAAACCCTGCATCCTGAGTTTCTCTGTCTTCCCACGCTCTGATATTTACAATGGGAGTTATACACCCCAGCTCTAATCTGATCCTCATGGAACAGCAGGTTCATTTAATCACTGGCTCAAAATTGCAAACATATTTTATTAGACTTATCTCTCTTAACGATACAGTGATAGCACACCACAGTACCATTTTAGAACAAGTTACTTCTGCTAACCCAGCTGATTCCTGATTTCTTTACAGTGAAATAAAGTCAAGGGAAAGACACACGTTGTCACTTCATAAACCCCAAAAGTACAAAGTGAGGCACTTGCTAACTACAGCTCCCCAGAGGGATGTGTGATTCACACAAAAAGGCACTCTCAGACCCCTCTGCCTGTGAGCAGAAAAATGCTGTGTTCTGTCCTGGTCTAAATTCCCAAGTTTGTGCATTACAAACATAATGCACTGTGTTTAGAAAAGTTATTACAGCTTTTCTGAAAAAGTTTCTTATAGGAGTAATGGAAATCTTTCAGATTACTTCCTCTTTTTTTTAATTTTTTTTTTTTTTTTTTTGGTAACAACAACATTAAACAAGAACTGAATCTCAAAGAGTAAGCATGGAATGTCCTGAGGAAGCCTAATGTGAACCATGTGACAGAGCAGAGAAAGGCTTCTGATTGATTTGGAAACTACTAGCACCTGGTTTCTTACGCTTTGGGAAGTTTACACCCCTTCTCTGCCCCACTCACCCTTGTTCTACGGAAGCTGATAGTTCTGTTGTCCCTCTTTTCAAACGTACTTAGCAAACAGATGTTCCTGGCCATTACAGATGCCTTCTCATAACACTGAAAAATGCAAGATTTGCTGTTTCCCCTTTTCTCTGCAAAAATGTTTCAATTCCAAACTAGCCCTGTAGAGAACAGGCTTTTCACAGTCAATGTCACCTTTTGATTCACCATTTACTATTTTGGCTGCAGTTCACATTAAGCTTTCCATAGGGAAGTTGCAGCTAGGTAAACAGGATGAATGGAAAGCGAAAATATGTTAGAATTTAACTAGATAAGAAAAACCAAAATCAAACATGAAATTAAACTGAAGCAAATTACTGTGAAATCAGATAGCAGGGAAATCCATCAGGAACAATTTCTACACAGAAAACCTATTGAAAGTTCAGAACTAAGAGAAAAATCTGGACCCTGGGATAGTGCATCATTTCCAAACAAGTTTGAATTTTTCTATCACGATGATGATGAAAACTAAGTGTTCATCACAGGCTCTGCCCAACATCTCTTTTCATCTGGATGAATGTTAAAGCATATCTAGCAATACATTTGCCAATGTGTTTTCTGATGTAAGCCATTCCCCCCCACACCCCCGAAAAACAGACTGGAAAAACAGACAGAGTCACAAAACTCAAAACTGCTCAAAAAGCATTTCAGGTTCTGTGGTACCTCAATCTATGGCTAAGGCTGAAATTTAAAAACACAGACTGTGTTCACGAGTACAGAAATAAAGGAAGTAATTTTCTTAAGAGTTTCTGCTTTGCAGAATTGGCTAAAACATCATTTTCATAGGCAGAAGAGAAAGGATAACATTGTTTCTGAGGACTACTTTTCAATCTGCATGAAGTTATTGAGACTTCTGTCACTTGTACTTTTTCCCTCCTGTCCCTGACTGGAGTTAAACTCTTACCAAGGTGTCAACAAACTCCTGGATTTTGGGCACTCAGAAGTTATGGTATTAGTTCTAATGGAAACCAGCTTATCCTTAAGAGAAGCTAACCAGTTGGGCTTCCAGTTCTTTTCTCCTGGTTACATGAGTCAATGGGCAACGCAACAGGGCTGCACTGATATATAAGGTGTAGTTGATAAAAGGAAAAGGTATCTTTTTATCTAAAATGCAGCTTTAACTTAATTCTCTATATTTCATTGTTTATAATATGGCCAAACTGGTCTGAAATTTTACATGAAATGTTTCAGACTGGGAGCAGCTCTATTTCCACAACTGGAAGAGAACCTATTCTGCTGTATGAAGATACAGAAATGTAATTTAAAAAAACTCTTTATCAGACACTGGCACTTTTCCTTCTTATGTAATTCAAAAAGGATCTCAGTAAAGAAAATTGAATTTGGCAATCCATTAACATAGATTTGATGGTCTCTCTCTGTTCATCTCTTGATGTCTCACCCCTTTCAGAAAAATGAAAATAACTCTTGGTAAAAGAGTTGCTGCTCCCTCTTATTAGTATATTGGCAATTATTAAAACCCTGGGAAAGCTGCTGAAGCTCTGCTGACTCATGGTGGTCAAGAAGCTACTTGTTAACTCCACAACCAATATGCAGGAGGGTGAGAAGTAGGAAAAAAAGGAATAGGAAAAGTTTGGGAAGAAAGCTGAGTGCAAGCTGGTATATTAAGTAGCACCGATTCTTCAGGAGAAAGTATTTGAATGCTATCTGAAGCTTTAAATGCTGTGTTTGAACCAGGTGAAGATTCAGACCTAACTTCATGCCATCTAAGTTTATGAACCTAAAAGAGTCATTTCAATAAAGAGTTTACCTCTCACAGGCATCCACTGTCAACAGAGTAAGAGTGGCAGTTACAAGAGGCAAATTGACTTACCAAAGGTCTGAACTGTCTCCTTCCTGCTCCATCAAGCACAGAGAGACCCCAAGGCAGTGATGGAAAGCCTACACCAGCACACCAGGGCTGGCACGTGACGCTGCTGTCAGCAGAACAGCTCCTCGACTATCACAGCTCCCAGGGCAGCCTTCAGTTTGTCGCTGGCTCCTCGACCCTACAGATCAGATTGAAGAGCCAGAACAAGCTGCAGCAGAGAATGGGAGATGGTGACACTGACAGAGATCAGTGGAGGAATTAACCCTTTCCCATACCACAAATTTGACCCAAAGGAAAGAATTTTCACAGAATTTGTCCTGATGCAGGAATGTATTTCTGACGTGAAAGGTGCTCATAGTTGCTAGTTAGGAGTGACCATGCTCCTAACTTAGGCAATTCAGTTTGAAGCCCTAACACTAATGGGATTACTATAAACCTGAAGTCATGCAGAGACTAAGTACTAGGTAAAGTTGGCATTTCAATACCTGGAAATTTTGGGATTTCACCTCATTTTAAGTTATTCTATGCCCACAGCAGTGAATAATAAGAGAAAAGTCAAAGCACATTATTCCAAGGGGTAAGGATTCTGCCTCAGAAAGGAAAAGTGGTTCTCAACACCATCTGGGTGCATCTGAGGACTGCACACTGCACTTCTCCCTTAAGGAGTAGCACACTTCTCCCCAGGCTCCAACCCATTCTTGCACGACAAAGAGCCATGATTTTCCACTTCCCCACTATTATCTTTGATCACGTATTTCTTGGTGAAGGAAGCACAGGGCATTTACTGTACCACCATCTTACCTTTGCTCTGCCCAGATAAGAGGATGTGTTCTTTCCCTACAGCATGCAGGAAAGAAGGGAAGGCTCAGGAAAGACAATGCAGCTATTTAGGTGATATATGAGGACTGTCCAGGATCACACATCTAAAACTCAGCATATTTTACCTCCACCTAAAATCCTGTCCCTGTCCCAAATTACAGTAAGAACAATTCACCTCATTAAGGTACTACACCAAGCTGCTTAGTTGTTATATTGTAAGGATAGGGAAGCCTGTGGTTGGAGCATTAGTGTTGTGGAACAAAGTGACGATAAGTTGGGAAATAAATGAGCACAGTACTCTCTTCTAACCTCCTGGCAGCGTGCCTTTTAACAGAGAAGAAAAAGCAAAAAGGCAAAATGTCAGCTCCAAAACATTTTTCATGTTGCAAAATATAGTGTGCACGCTGAAACACTTGATAAGAGACACACAAAGGGGGCTGATACTTCACTGAAAAATAGTGAGTGACTGCAAAAAGGTTACGTGAACACATATCTAATGCAGTAAGAAAAAAAATCCTTAGGACCAAAAATTGCATCCATGTCCTATAAATGCCACATCAGCGCTTCAGATAGAATTCTGAGCAGCTCACTGCTGCTAAGTTCAAGGATGCAGAGCAGCTTTCACAGACAGCCAGAGAGACTGAGCGGATTCGGCTATTCCGACACACCTCGATGCTTTAGATCGCAGCTGACCATTTCGCCGGTCTCAGTGACTCGGAGCAATCTCTGTTTTCCCGGGAGAGCTCGCTCATTTGCAAGGGAAAGGTAGGGTCTGCACATGCCCGCGGTATTCCTGCCGCTGGGGGCAGCTTTACATAAGGCAGCGCCCGCCGCCAGCCCGGCGACAGTCGGACAGAGCTCTCGGCAGGAGAGAGCGGGACTGCGCGGAGCGGGATCCTGGCGCGAGCTCATCCCACCTCCTGCGCTTCCAGAGCAGCTGCCCAGCCGGATCGGGAGCTCAGGGAGGAAACTACTGGGCTATGGAATACAGATGTGTGAATTCAGATAGCTAAACGGGGCTTGGAGAAGGAATCTAACATGCTTTCCTATAAAGCAACATTTTAAAAGCCAGGTTCCTAACTATAAAGATGCAAAAACGTAATATCCATGAAGATCCTATCACCTAGGAAGAATTTGACATTTTGCTGCGAATGCTGTGTTGGGATTGATTTATTCTTGGAGTGTTCTGCACGGCTGGCAAAGAATAATGTCTCAAAATCGGCCCATCTCCCAAGGGGTCCAATTTTTCTTCCTGGGTGTCTGCGAGCCCTGACTCACTCCAGTGCAGCTGACAGGGGCTGCCATGCTTGTGGCACACTAAGCAAAGAACAAAAGACCTAAGGACGACCTTTGAACAACACAAAGGATGGGTATGTTTTTCATGTTATCTTTTTAATTTATAGTCCATAGTTACTGCATAGCCTGTGCTTTAATTACTCCATAGATTTACCTTGATGTGATTTGTTATTATACTTAAATGGTTTAGGGATTACACCTTTTACCCACCTGTTTCTCAGTATTTATATCAAGGTATTCTTAAAAAAAAAAAAAAAAAAAAAAAAAAGCTGATTAAAAAGAAGAAAAGTCAATGTGAAAATCAATTGAGTCTGGCTAGGGGTTTTTAAATGATTCTTGAAGATTTTAGCATGATTGAAAGAAATGACTGATGTGTGGGGGGATAACTTTTCTAAGTTGTTTTTATTTCCAGGTTTCAATGTAATTAGGCTACTGAGCGGATCAGCTGTAGCTCTGGTAATAGCCCCTACTGTATTACTGACAATGCTTTCTTCTGCTGAACGAGGATGCCCTAAGGGCTGTAGGTGTGAAGGCAAAATGGTTTATTGTGAATCTCAGAAATTGCAGGAGATTCCCTCAAGTATATCTGCTGGTTGTTTAGGTTTGTCCCTTCGATATAACAGCCTCCAAAAACTAAAATACAATCAATTTAAAGGTCTTAATCAACTCACCTGGCTCTATTTAGACCATAACCACATCAGCAATATTGATGAAAATGCTTTCAGTGGAATACGCAGACTAAAAGAGTTGATCTTGAGTTCCAACAGAATCTCCTATTTTCTTAATAATACCTTCAGACCTGTGACAAATCTCCGGAATTTGGATCTGTCATACAATCAGCTGCAGTCTCTGGGATCTGAACAGTTCAGGGGCTTAAGGAAGCTGCTGAGTTTACATTTGCGGTCCAATTCCCTAAGAACCATCCCTGTTCGAATATTTCAAGACTGTAGGAACCTCGAACTGTTGGACCTGGGTTATAATCGCATCCGAAGTTTAGCAAGGAACGTCTTTGCAGGTATGATCAGACTGAAAGAGCTTCACCTGGAGCACAATCAGTTTTCTAAGCTCAACTTGGCACTTTTTCCAAGGCTAATCAGCCTTCAGAATCTTTATTTACAGTGGAATAAAATCAGTGTGATAGGACAAACTATGTCCTGGACCTGGAGCTCATTACAAAGACTTGATTTATCTGGCAATGAAATAGAAGCTTTCAGTGGACCTAGTGTTTTTCAGTGTGTGCCCAATTTACAGCGCCTCAACCTGGATTCAAACAAGCTCACATTTATTGGTCAAGAAATTTTGGATTCTTGGATATCCCTGAATGACATCAGCCTTGCCGGGAATATATGGGAATGCAGCAGAAACATTTGCTCCCTAGTAAACTGGCTTAAAAGTTTTAGAGGGCTGAGGGAAAACACTATTATTTGTGCCAGCCCCAAAGAGCTGCAAGGGGTGAATGTTATTGATGCAGTGAAAAACTACAGCATCTGTGGCAAAAGCACCACAGAAAGGTTTGAACTAGCCCGAGTTCTCCCAAAGCCAACGTTTAAACCAAAACTCACCAGGCCTAAACACGACAGCAAGCCCCCTCTGTCCCCGACTATTGGAGCCACTGAATCGAGCTCCGAGCCTGAGCATGACCCAGAACACATCTCCTTCCATAAAATCATAGCAGGCAGTGTGGCTCTTTTCCTGTCTGTGCTTGTGATCCTGCTGGTGATCTATGTGTCATGGAAGCGGTACCCTGCCAGTATGAAGCAGCTGCAGCAGCGCTCGCTCATGCGAAGGCATAGGAAAAAGAAAAGACAGTCGCTGAAGCAAATGACTCCAAGCACACAGGAATTTTATGTAGATTACAAACCTACCAACACTGAAACCAGTGAGATGCTGCTGAACGGAACAGGACCCTGCACGTATAACAAATCAGGCTCCAGGGAATGCGAGGTATGAACCATTGTGATAAAAGAGCTTTTAAGAGCTGGGAAATAGTGGTGCTTTATTGAACTCTAGGGACTATAAAGGGAACGTTTTTCTCACTTTTCTGGCATAGCTCTTCCATGTCTCTTTTTTTGTACATTCATAATGCTGGTCATTTAACTCTCATACATAATCAACTCATTGAAATTTAAATACCACAATCAATGTGAAGCCTGAGCTCTGGTTTAATACAATACCTATTGTACAAACCTTCTACTGATTTCATTAAAGTCTCTCTTGTTTTTAAAGAGAAAACTTCTTTCATAAGTAATCCACTGCACCTGCAACAACTGTGCCTCTGTTTAGGGAGAAAAATGACAACAATGAAAAAAAAAAATCAAACTCTGTGTGTGTCCCCCCTTTGCCTCCCCAACCCCCCTCCCCCACCCCAACTCCTTGCTCTAAAAGTCACTTTTTTAACTCAGAACAAACTAAAGACCCAGGTACTGTAGCATCATATGAATTCTGAGGTGTCTGAGGAGAGAGATGGTTCAGAAACAGCTCTGAAACAATGTCTCAGTGCTGCCCAACACAAGAGAGACTGTAAAGCCATTGAGGAGTTAAAGCAGCCTTAGGACATCAGGTATCACTAAAAAGCAAAGCAGAGGGAAATCGAGGCTTAATAAAAGTTTAAAAATAAAGGGCCAAAATGGGATTTACTGTACTGCATTATAATACAGTGTTTCTATACGGCTGATAACTAGTAATTGAAACCTATTTATGTGACTTCATACAAAAGGTGCCAGTGTTTATCCCTACATCCAGTTGCCTTTCAGAAAGTAGTCAAAAGGCATTCATTAGATGAGGAGCAGAAATTCTTTATTGATGCAATTAGAGGAACTCAAATGTGTGGCAGCAGAAGCAAGACCACTTCCTGCACACATTTGTTTCAGTGCTCATTAGAAATTCTCTTTTCAAGACTGTCAAAGGCATTAATGTAGCTGAGGAAATCATTAAAATCCATCATTTTCTTCTATTTCTGTTTACTTGCTGGGCTAGGCTTGTTAAGGTTGTGTGATGTGTTTTGCACTCTGACGCCCTAATAAGTAAATAAAGCTTCATTACTTAAAAAGCCAAACACTGTACATTTTAGACACACTACAGCTGCAAAGAGCTTTCAGAGAAAACTGGTTACCCACTGATCTGAGTGCATCCAAAAATCCTTGCATAAATCAGTGACAAATTATTTTTCTCTCTTAGCAAAACCATAATGACATTACAGGAATTCACAGATACTCAGTTTTAATGTCTAGTCATTCATCAGTAGTTCTGGGTAAAATACAGATTTGTAACCCAGCTATTCCCTGCCTCCCTTCTCCCGGAGTCATGTATTTTGGTGGTTGCAGAAGAATACAATATCCCCCATATTTGCAAATAAATCATACCTCCCATTTTGATTATCAGGAAGGGAAGCTATGAAATAATACAGCAGCACCTTTATAGAAGCAAGTCAGTAATTTAATTATCTCTATTTTGTAACTTAATTTGGTTTAGTAAACTGCACATCCTCAATGGGAGGGAATGTTTCTACAAAGCAGCTTCACTGCAGCAGATCAGAAAAAGCAAAACCTTAGCAGAACATGCTCCTGAATTGTTACTGGAAAAAAAACCCCAATCACAGCCAATCACCTTAAAACCTGCTAGATACAATGAAAACAAAGCTAGAAAGCACCTCTTAAAAACAACTATATACACACTCGAAGGGGTTTGGGTTGGGTTTTTTCATGTAATGAAACCATTCTCATTTCCAAGGACTGTAGTGAGGAAATAGCCAAGGGTAGAAGCTTGAGACTAGATGAACCCTGCAACAGAGAGCCCGTTTTCCTGAGCACAGGAAGGATCCCACACCATTAATAATGCAACTGCTCGAGAGGTTTCAGCAGCACAGCACAGTTGTACCTGAGTTGTACCTTGAAAGTTCCTATTAAAAAGTCAATACACATTTAATTATCTTAGCTATTATGGGATTCGGTTTTCTACCAGGAGGCCTTGGTTATCTCTGCACTGAAGGATTAGAGTTTTCTGTAAACTTCATGTTAAGAACCATCCCTGTACTTCCTTAGGCTTTAATCTCTGCAGTGGTGACTGATATTAGGTACAGCCAAAGAAAGAAAAATTGGGTACAAAACATACATATGCTCATATATACATACACACACACACGTGTGTGTGTGTGTACATGTATACATATAAAAATAAAATAAAATAATGATATGTAGTTTTAGGAATGCTGACTGCAATCAGAAAATAATTTCATACTATTGCTTTAGAATTTTTGCTATTCAAAATTATTTAATGCATCTTCTAAAACTTCTTAATGGACCGTGATTGTGAATGAGTTGTCTATAACTGAGCTGAACTTTATATGCTTCCTTTTATGTTTCTTTAATGCCCTGTTCTAACCATAACAATACTCAGAAAGAATACATCCATAATCTCCTTCAGAAAGCAATGCCTGTAAAATTATCACCTTAAAAAATATTTAATTACAGGCATGAAAAATAAAGTAAGGCCAGTATGCCTTTTATCATGGAGGGGCCACAGAAATAATTATGAAAACCCAGCATGTCTATATTCATGCACAGACATGCCCAGATCAATTAATTCATATGAATTTGCAAACACACAGATGAACGTGTACTTGCTGCTATCATCATTGATAATGAAAACACTGTTTGATTATACAAAAAAGATGCCCAGTGTAACTCTCTGAACCTTGTACAGACTGAGGCCTGTGAGCCAAGGTGTTAAATCCCTCTCCACTGCATGAGGCTTAGAAAACATTTTAAACCCACAGCACAGCACATTAAAACACATTACAAAATCCATGCTTTCACCTGGGCAAAGACTACATGAACTAAGCTCAACTCATCCTCACCACTGTCAAATGAAACGCTCTGGAAGTGAACTTGTTTTAGGTGGCAAGGCCACCAGAGCCACAAGTTCTAATAATCTTGTAGCAATGATTTGGTCTTAGCTGAGCAACTTTTAGTCCCTGTGAAAGGCTGCCCCTCTCCTGAATACCAATGAAGTGTTGAAGCCTCAAAGGTTCCAGAGAAGAAATTTCTCCTTCGCTTCTCTCCAGTATCTAAAATTCTCACCCTGCTTTGTGCAGGGTTTTGAATATTTTGGTGCCAGCCTCTGACAAAACTGTTAAAACCTTGCTGAGGTGATGCCAAGGAATCCTCAGAGGATGTGCAGGAGCTATGGTGCCTCCTACAAATCTGTAAGCCTTCACGCAAGCATTTTAGGCACTAGGTTGAGGAAGGAGATGTGATTGAGTGCCTCTAGTGACCTAGCTCTCCTTTAATGGAGCTGACACTGCCCACATAGTCCACGTTTAGGAGAGCAAAAATGGAGTTTCAAGGTATTTGGAGTTTGTTTTGTGGGTGGTTTTTAGGATTTTTAATCATCTGTTATTTCTTTTCCTGAGTCACATATGGTGTTCTGGGGCTACCACTGGAAGACCAGAGCTTTACAAGCCACAGACAAAGTGCAGCACTCTTCCATGCCCACTGTCATTTGCATTGGTTTTGCAGCCTACATTTATTTAAACAATGTTGAGACAAATGTTGTTGGATTCACCAGCCTGTTTCATTTTATTGCAGCACCCCAAAAAATTTTAAGGCAAGTCTGGACTTTCTCTGTGTGACACTGTAGAAACACCTTCCAACAATCTCTTAACATTAAATTGTTTATGAGGGATGTTGAGAAGACAGACAGAACATGGCAAATAGACAGATTTGAGGTAATTTGCTTGATCACATACCAGTTGAGTACTGGGGGTCTCCTCACACCAAGACATGATCCTAGCCAGTGGATTACTCAGCCTCTCAACAACTTAGCTCTTGGAATGTTCAAGTGCTATTTCAGAATAATAAACCACACAGAATGCACATCTTTAGAAATAGAAAATAACTGATCTTCTAAGCAAATTTGAGGAGACTGGTAATGTTCATTCACTGTGTTGAGATTACCTCCAGCAACTGCAGAGTAAGAGAATAGCAATGAGAACAAGTGGCTTGAGTATAATGACTGCAAGCTCCTCTGCTGGCTGGTTTTCATGACTCACTATCTGCACTTACACAGACATCACAGCTGAAGCTTTGGCAACACTCTCTGGTTTTTTACTATTATGAAATGGTAAGCCTTGATATAAAATTCAACTGTAAAATGAACATGAATGTACAATATTCCTGCAAACACAATTAGAAATTTTCAGTTTGCTGCAAGCAAACAGTCTCTGCTGTCAGCCACTCAACACTAGATAAATATTCTCCTGGATGAATTTCTGTGAAACAACAGTGACATCCAGTGGGAGCGAGTTTAATCACAGGTATCTCCTTTATATATCAAGTCCCACATAGATGTGTTTTCCTTTTCACTTTGTGTCTTTCTGCATCACATGGCAGAAGCATCAAACCTTTTCAGCAGACCAAGTACTCAGCTGTATCTGTGTAGTGGATTCATAATCTGAATGTAAGGAATATATGGCAAAAATAAGAGTACATAAATGCCAGCAAGAAACAGTCTATCCAGTGTGTAAGTCACTACTGCCAGTAAAAGGTAAATAGTATATAAGTAAGCAAGAACAGGAGCTTTAACAAGTTTGTGGCCACTGATTTAGAACTTACTATTTATAAAACATCACTAAGTGACTTTAATAGATTATAAAATAAATTCAGGCTACAAACAACTCATTTGACTTCATAACAGTACAGGATGAAAAAAAATATTTTTTTTAGCTTATTTTTACAGTAATGAGAGAAAGATATTATTAGACATCAAAAGGAAGGGCACTCACCACCTGGGAACAAATCAAAATAACAGCTTCCTCTCAAAAACACACACAATGTACAAAGAGACAAGAAGCAAATGATGAAAGATCAAATTCACAAACAACAATAATGTCTCACAACGGGAAACTAAGAGATGACATGAATATGCACCGTATCTACTTGGACTCC